TTGTCCCTCTGTTTTGGGGAATAAGCGACGCTGGTTGTGGATTCCCCAGCGCTGGTGACTGACATTCCTTCCCGGAATGCTGCTGCTCCCTGCCCGGTGAGATGCGGACACTGGGGAAGAGCAGGCGGTCAGTCCTGTTATACCGTGTTGGTCTTGTCCTGCCACCTGTGCCGGGGCTTGTGTGGAAATAAACATTGGCGAATTCGTCCCGATGCGGTTCCTTGGAGAGCAGATGATGCTCTGAGAAAAAACTAGAAGACCTTTTGGGAATCCTGTTGTGAAGAAGTTCAGGAAAATTAAAATTGTTTTAAGATACACTCCTTTCCTTGAAGGTTAGTTGGAACTTGTGCACGGAACAAACGTGGAAAAGTTCATGTGGGTAGTGTATTCTTTTGTGCCTTTTGTTGCAGGAGTAAATAAAAATAAATGAAGTGGCACAACCTGATGTCACACTCACAGCTGGGATGTGCCACCCTCAGTAATTCCAGCGAAATCCATATTGAAATCAGGGCTATCATTTTCGTGTCCAGAAGAATGATCAGAAACCCAGGAGTGTGTGAAACAAAACCTTTCTCTTGCGAGCTATTATACATTTATAGCCTTAATATTAGAAGATATTAAGAGATTTTATTAAGAGATAAGGTAGATTGCAAGCAGGTGCTTCTGAACAGAGCTTACTTTTCTTAAACAAGCACTTAAGGGTAGCAGCTTTCCTTTATAAATTCTGTCAATAGAAATAAGGATGGATTTGTCTTTATATAGGAAGTATTGTTTAAGAATGTATAGTAAATGAAGTATGTTAGATATGGGGCAAAACAATGATAGTACTTCCCTTTTAAGCCTTGTCCGTATTATCTCGTTTATTTTTCGTTTTCCCATAATTTTGCACAATGTTAAATACACAGAGAAACTGTTTCTCAGTATAAATACCTTCGTAAGGAAACTAAGTTTCCATCTGAGAGCTTGTGCAAAAAACTATTGAAGTTCTGCTCATGCAAAATAGTTTCTGCAGCCTTTTGTATTGCGACACTTTGGTGGGACTTGGTACAAAAGCTATTTTAGCGTTTGGTAATGGGAGTTTGCTCATTCAAGGCAAAGCAGTAACATAAGGAACCAGCCCATGTTTTCAGCAGGGCTAGGTAACTGCAGCTAGGGAGGTGTTGTGAGGGGATGCAAAGGGAAAGAAAACAACACAGAGGACGTGTAAAAATGGTCTTTTATTGTTCCTTCGTTGTGGTGCAGTTCTGTGTGAAGTGCTTAGGCCCTTTTGAAGAATCTCTTGGACTCAACTCCTTCATATACATAGGTCTGTTAAAAATGAGGAAAGAAAAATCAGTGGCTGGAACTGCAAAGTTTCATTTCCCAGATATGGTTTGTAGACTTTTAAATTCTTTATAGGCAACTGGGAATTTTAACAATAAATAAATGAAGTTATTTAGCTTGAAGAAAATATTTTAAACTTTTAGAAAAGCTTTCAATTTTTTTTTTTGTTGATTCTATTGCAAACTTTTACGTAAATGACTCTCAACTCACCTGAATGAGTTCATCACCCACGATTTCTCTGGTTGCTTTAAGTACTTTTCCATTGTCTTTTCTGGTAAAAGCAGCCACAAGTTTATTTCCTTCCAGGGTCCAAGCACCCTATGAAGGGGGAAGAAACCCAAATGTTTTGCAACAGTTATAACACTGATTTGGTTTAAAGGGTGTAAAATGCTTAAAAGTGAAAAAAAGATTTAAACAGTGTAATAATGCTTTTTAGAAAGGCTGTAAAAATGAAATTTTAATAAAACCATTGGCGTATTTAAATGTGTACTAGCCAACCTAGGTATTTTTTACTGGTCAATATACCTTATTTTAAATAATTGTATCAACAGAGATTTGTAGTTTCTTAAAAATACCCACGTTGCACTCTAGGTGGACTTTAGTATTAGAAGAAGTAAAATTGCAAATCACGTGGATTTCATCTTGTGAAAATTGCTGCTTGCTCTGTTTTTTGGGCTCTCTGGAGCCCTGAGATCCGTGGTACAGTGTTGAACCTTTAACACTAAAGACTTCCTTGTGCTTTGGTGTATAAGCTGCAAGCATTCCTGAACAGTCAGGTTCAGGAAAATGTAATGTAATTCAGAAGGAGAATTTAAATTAAAAACTAGGAAGACAAATTATTCATCTTGAAATTGCACGTTATAAAGTAATTATCACATATTAAATATTGAACTATATAGGAAGATTCTTACAGAAAGTTCAGTCCCATCAGCCAGGCTGTAATCAAAGTTGACTCCCAGAGTAAATTCAATCTCTATATTACGGAAGTTGCTGACTTCTTTGACATTAAATTTTTCCCCATTTTGTTGGATGGTGATCTTCAGATTATCATGGGCTCCCAGCTTTCTTTTCATCATGCCAACACCTAAAAAAATCAGTTACCATAAATCAGAAAAAAAAAAAAAACAAACCTCTGGAGCATCAGATTTATCTATTTTAAATCAATCCTGTGTGGTCAAGTGAGTTTATTCCAGCATTCTGACCCAAATATTTGTCCTTCAGCTTTCATCAAGGCCATGTTCACTAGTACACATATAATACAAATCACTGTCTTAACTGTAGTTATATTTATGTCCATATAATTCACACTTTGTACAAACTTCAAGTAAATATCAAGATGTTAGAATTACTTGAATCAAGTGTTTCTCTGAAATTGAAGGATGATGATTTCCTCCCTGTTGAATTTTTAAACTGGTTTGATGTTGTCAAAATAATAGTCCATCTATAAAATTCAGTTTCAAGTTTATCCATTCAAGTTATCTGAGCCTTTTCCTCAAATCTAGACTTAGATATTCTTTTTTTCTGCTGAAATAAATTTGGAATTACTTCAAATGCTTAAGAGTAACTCAGTGTAATTAAAATCAGAACATTTCTCAGCATCTTCCCCCCACCTCAGAATATTTTGAAAATAAATGCAGGGGCAGAGCAGCCAAGAGTGAAAGGACAGGATGGCCTGAAGGTAGTTCTTAGACAGTTTGGGTTTGTATTCATTTGGAGTGGCATTTTCCCTGCAGAAGGGATTGGAAAGGTGAGCCTTACCCAGTGCCTCCATGAACTTCTCATAGTTCTCACTTCTGTCAACTTTCCAAGTGCCGTCGAATGCCATGGCTGTGCTGCAGGAGGGCTGCTCTGCAGGGACGAGTCTGCACAGGGAACTTATGGACTGCCTTATCTTGAGAGCAATGTACTGGATGACGAGGCTGAGTAAAGCTCAACTGATACACTGACCTCTCCAAGGAGAAGTTTCCTGTAGTTTAATCAAATTCCCAGTCCTGACCACACTGCTTGCCGAGTCTCTCTTATTGGCCCCAGATCATGACAGAATCTTTATTGCTTCTCCCATTTAAGAATTGCTAATCCATTCATTCTATCCACAATGTGGGGTAAAGATCAGGTGTCTAGTGAAACTAATAATTAAACTAACAGCACTGCTTGACATTTTCTATCTCAATTGCATCTTTAAGCTTGTGGGAGAGTCTTCAGGCAACAGGAGGTGATATTATAACAAAATAAACACAAGTCTCTACTTTGTCCGTTATAATTTGTTTGGGATCTGTTCTGCTCAGCATAACAAGCATGGGGCAGAGGATTTACTGAATGTCTCCAGGTTGTTGCATAAAACTCTCCTCTTGCCACCTGTCTAACACTGAGCTGTGAAAATTGGGATGGTAGTGTCTATTCATGTGACCATTTTTTAAATATATGTAGTTTAAATTCTCAGCAGCATCTACAAATTTTCTTCATTACAACATATTCAGTGAAGAAACCAGCCAGATGGAAGGTGTTTAGGCTGTTTACTCCTAAGGGTGATGAGGGAAGTACCTCACAATGTGCATTTCACAACAACATTTAGGTCTTTGTATGTAGTTTTCACATGGAAGTTTTTTCCCACAATTTCACACAGGTTTTGACCACCTGAATAACTCAAAAAACGTTTTAGCTCATGCCCTGTGCTGTGTCAATAATGCATGCCCATCTGCCAGCTCAGACAATGAGCAGACTTTATTCTAAGAGTCAGATTATCTGTTTTTACTGCACTGGTGTGTGTCTTGACCTTTGTTGTTATCACTGGCAGTCTTACGTGATATGTGTAGTATATATACATAAACACCCAGTGTTGAGTTACAGTTCATCCAAGCTGTTACATAACAAAACTGACAACTCTCTTTACAGTCTTTGCAGAAAGGTTCCTTCTGGCAGTGGTTGTAGTGCAGCTTCTGCTCTGTTTAGTAGAAAATCAAGGTATAAAACAATGTGAGTTGCTCAATATGACAAAATATGACTGTTTTTCACATGTACTAGAACCATGCAATCTTCACTTCATTTAGAATTCTTTTGTCTTCCTGTAGTAGCTCATTCTCCTTCTAACATCACAATTAGAATCAGTTTTGTAGATTTTCTTAGTTTTCTTAGTTATTCCACCTTTTTCCTTATTCTGTCTCCCTCTTCCTTGTATGGTTTTCAGAACTACAGCTTTTTCTTTGATGGTGCATTGAAATCTTGTTTTCTATTATTGCTTTTTTCATGACAGTTTTGAAAGCAAACGGTATGTTCTTGGCTTTGTGGCTTTCTCCAACGTGTCAGCTTTCAGAACACTGAAAATGGACAAACTTACTTTGATCTTTAGATAAAGTGGATGGCAATAAATTATTAACTTATATGATTATGCCAACCTCATCCTGCCAATCTATGATATTGTAGCAAGGTGTATTGTGATGGCAATTTACAGTGAAGTTCCAAAGATCAGGGTGACAAAACGGCTTTTGCAGTGGGTTGTATTCATCTCCCCTGATTTTTGTTTAGTGGCTTATATTCAAGTTGTGCTGACTAAAATTAGCTATAACAGTAGAACTGTTGGGTTGGTTAAGGCTTGGTGCCAGCACAAACATAATATACTCATGAAAATATTGATTTCTATAAAAAGAGACTAATCCCTGATAAAACCATGCAGATTGTGCAGTATTTATGAGTGTTTTCTCTTGAATGATTCTGCATTATGTCTTGGGTTGCAAAGATGGATCCCTTACTGGGAAGTTTTACTAAGCATTTGGTTCACAATACTCAATTCTGTATCAATGTGGTAAATGGACAATTCTATGCCAGTAAAGCCAATTTAAGCCTAGCAGTGGGTGACCTAGCAACCAGGAGCTTGATGGAGCCTAACTAATGCCATGTCTTGGAGAAATAATTTCAAAGTACATATTGCAGATGGGTGTTGCATTGCAGCAGGAATACATCCTGCTTGAGCTAGATGGTGTTCTGCTCCAGCTGCCTGTTTGCTGAATTTCTGCTTTTATTTTTGTTCAAGGAGAATCTCCTGGATACTGCTAATGTGAAATCTGTTCAGCAAGAGAATTCAGCATTTGAGGATTACCTAGAAATTTCCAGTGAGTATAGATCCATTTGTGTGAATAGTTAGCAGTGGGCTGTGGGTTTTAAAGCTTGCTCCTAACTGTATACACTGCTTTCTAATTCCTGTGTAATGGCTCTGATCCATGAAGTGCTGCATTTTTGAGAGATTTTTACTGGAGAGAACTAAAGTGCAGGAGTTAATAAGACCCAGGCTGAAAAAATCTAGAAGCAAAATTTAGGATTAAAATAGGAACAACCCTGGTATTTACTTTGTCAGTTTCTATATGCTAAAATGATTCCTAGGATTACATAGAATAATAGAATCTGGCCTTGTTTCAATGAAAAAAGGGCGGCAGTGAAAAATTGCCAATAAAAGTAAGTGTGCTTTTCCAGAAAAGGTTCAATGAATCTCCGAGTATTAGTGCCATTGACACTTGCCACACAGAGACTGATGTAACAGTTACCCTGTGGGGCTTTTTGTGAGGCTTTTCTAAGGGTATTTAAATTTATACCTGAATATTCCTGTATTCCCCAATTTCTTTTTGTTTAGAATATGAAATGTGATCATAGAGTGGGGTCAAGTTGTAGTCCAGGGAACTAAGAATGTACAGTATTGAAAGTCTGCATCAGTCATTTCAGTTTCTCCAAAATCTGAACTACACTTTTGTGACTGTGAATGTGAGATTCCATAAGTCTGTCCCTAAAGCTTACTATCAGAACAAACTTACTTGTGAGGTTTTTCCTAAAAATCTTAATGGGCAAGGTTTCATGGGAATGTGAAATGCAGTAGCTGTCACCACTGCTGCTAAAAATGTGGCTGGAGGAAAGATCTTTTGTCTTTTCCATTTGTTAATGAGGTATCAGATTTGTACAAGAAGAGAAAGACCTTGTGTGATGTTCGTTCACCCCTTCAATAAAAATGCCCTCGCTCAAGGTCCTGTTCTTTCCAGGGCTGGATGAGAGATGGATCCCAGCACTCCTGCTGCAAGCACTGCCACTTCTCAGAAGGGAATTCAAAACTCCAGCAGGCCAGAGTGGCTGGGCAGCAGCATGACTGGGCTGGTGAGGGGGTGGAAAGGTTGTAGTCCCAACAGCAAATAGTGACCTGATATTTGCAGATATGCACAGGCACTTGTGCAGTTGCACTCATAAATTGCAGTTGCTTCGAGCAAACAGTGCTTGTGTTTTGTGCTGAGCTAAATCTGGCCCTTCATAACTTCTTGAATGAGCCTGCTGTTTGTTAGGGATGTACATACTTCTTGGTTTTGCCTAGAGCTAAAAAAAGTCAAGCCAGAAGTGTTGCTGTGAAGGGCCTAATAGGCAAAGAAGAGAAATTGCCAAGAAGCCCACTGGTCCAGAATTACTTCTAGGATCAGCAGTTTCCACAAGATGAGGCTTTGGTTGTAAGAAAAGAAGTTTTTCCACAGTTTTGGTTGAGGTCACTGGGCTGACTATTTCTATCTCTCTTGCAATTGATATCCCCCAGGCACTGATCTAGGGGGACAGAGGATGAGGATACATCTGTGTAACTCTTGTATGTGCTGGTTCTGCTTTCTGTCAGAAATAAACTGGTTTCTGACAGCTCTCAGGAGGTGCAGCTCCAGTGCTCTCTAGTGGTCAGTGGCATTGAATTATTTTTCGTGGGTTTGAAACAAGAACTATTTACTGCTGGCTGATCTCAGTAGTACTCAGAAGTATCTTGATATTAACAGATATTTTTCTCTTCAGGATTTCTAGGAACTAGAAAAGTTACTATGAAATATAAATTTACAGAAGCAATGATTTGAATCAGGCATTGAAAATTACACCTCAATAATATTAATTATAACAAACAGAAAAATTTGACTTCATCATTTTTATTTTAAAAAGCATGAAAACAGTACAAAGAGAAGAATGAAGAAACAAGTAATAAGCAGCAGTCTGACCACAGAAAATAAGCTGACCCTTATGTTCTCTAGCAGCTGTATGGTAAGTAGGGCTAATGATTCTCTTAAGTAATGTAACTAGCTTTATTCTAAGAAGTCA